GGTTCTCGACTGTAAATGCAACACACCGGAAAATTGCACGAAGCTGCGGGACAACCATGAGATTATATCGCAAGCATCCACTATCTTACAACGTCATTGACGTCATCAGAAATACCAACGTCGGCGCCGACAAACAGCCACAATTTACATCCGCTTACATCTAAAGCTTCGAAATATTGGCGTCATAGAAATACCAACGTCGGCGCCGACAAACAGCCACAATTTACATCCGCTTACATCTAAAGCTTCGAAATAGAAAAAATCGGCTGATACTGCGAAATCATTAGAGTACCTAAAGCTTTAAATACCGGGAAGGAGCTAGGGGCACTGAAGCTACAGATACCGGCTTGCTGCCATTTCTTTCAACATCTCCAACCGTGAGTAGAGAGGAACATGTTGACTTCATCGTGGAAGTCACCAACGACACCCGGACTCCACTCTTTATCATCCGTCTATTAAATCGTATGCTGTCCATAACGAAGTTTTTTTCACTCTGTAAGAGGCACTTTACAGTAATGCAACCATCATTGTAGTCCGGTGCACTCGAACCTTGTGATGCGATGTGTGATTTACGCCGGAAACGATGTAAGCTGACTCGTGAATCGGGTTTTCAAGAACCATTCACTCGTTTAACCAAACGCAATACCGTGGTTTGCAAAATTTTTCACAAAATTCAGTGCATTTCTATTGAGATTCCGTCTTGCAAGCAAAGTCGATCCATGCCGAAGACCCAGAAACAATGTACAGCTATTTCATCTTCATTGGGATTTATCGGCAGTGTGGGTCTCATGCGCGTCGTGGTTCCAAAAAACCTGCAAAGTTTCAAGAGATGTGCTTAATAATCTACATAGTGCCTCTCGAATTTTTAGCATGGTTTGGTTTTATTTACATGATCCCATTTAAAAATCCCCATATGCATGTATGCAAGTTCCAGTATCTCAACTTAAATCACGACATTATATTCAGAGACTACAGGCGCTGCAGGACTTTGAGCTTTGTTCGTGAAAATTGAATACAGAAATTTATTCAGTAACCCCTGAGTTTCGGTCTTCAACGATGAAGACGCTGTATTCCACTTACTCCAGGTTGACGATTGCTTATCAGAAATCGAGAATCCACCGTGAATTGTTTCCTGACTCTCATGGTTTCACATAATCAGGAGGAAATTTCTTGAACCTTGGAAATGACGGGTTGCGCACCGAGCCGTTCAAGCTAGCTAGAACAAACGTACACACTGTGGTTTGGCATCCATTTTATTCAATACGGAAAGCAAGTAGCACTTCACAGTAACATAAGGATGCAATACTGTTGACTTTATTTAAGAGATGAGCCGACAGAAGACAGGCACCAATCAGACAATTGGCCCGCTTTGTAGTTTTGACATAATTTATGTCCTTTACGGCGAAACCACCCCTGAAAATTTGCATGGGGCAAGTGCTACAGAATTTTCGCAAACGAGGCAAACAGCTGCTCGAGTTATCAGCATACTTCACAGGAGTCTCTGAGTTGGTGAACAGGGAAACACTATCGTGTTCTTGCTTAGCTGCCGGGGCAAAGTTGTCCAGTTTGATGCATTTTTAGTTTGCTGGATAACAGCTGAAGTTAGAGCTTGCAGAACTACATCTGTAGATTCCCATATGAAAGTGATTGAAATTTATCGGACCAAATCTTGACCAGAATTGTTCAATATTGTCTGGTAACCATTCGACTGGCCTGATGGATGTTGCATGCTTAGGGTCCTGTGTAGTTCAGAATTATCGTGACTCGATGGCATCGTTGCACAACAGCATTTAGAATATTCGGTGCTCATTCTCTGTTGGTTTGTGGCTGTAAAGCTTGGTCACTCTGTGGAACAAACGAGCCCAGGTGCTTGTACTTTTCTGGGGATTAATTGCACTTGAATCATGGAAGCTGACATGACCATGCACATGATCATTCATTTACTCCTAACTTAGTCTGTTTGCAGAGTGTATATTATGTGACGAAGATCGGGCCCAGACTTGGTGCACTACTTAGAAGATCAAATAATATCCGATTCAACCGAACCTTCCGTTAGTAGTAACAGTCTGTAAATGTGTGTACTCCGTCAATGTTAAGAGGTTTTTGATGCTTCGGAGACCCAGCAGACTAGAAGTTGCCCGCATGACCACTGGAGCTGTTATGTACGTTCACTCATTCCTAACTATTTCAACAGAGATTGTTACTTTCGTCAACAGGGGTCAATTTCGCCTCTAGATCTCTTAGAGTAGTGGTTTTGCTTTTGAAATAAAGTGGTTAACCAGCTGAATTTATTGAAAACTTTATAGCTAAATTTCTTCTCGTTGTATTTCATAAAGGGAAGTAGAGAATGTTGGTTAACAAACCCCAATCGAAGGAGAAAATTGCAAGTTCATAAAATATCAAGCATATGAGGTAAAATGGCGTACTAATCAGAAACTCTGAGGCTACTTTTTCGATTTTTAGGAGGCACACTTTACAATTCATCATCACCGATGGGAGCTCTCAATGTGGACAAGTATGGCCACTTTACAAGGGAAGAATATATCCAACTTTATTTCATTTCGACGTCCACTGCAAAGGACTGCAGCAAAGCATTTCATATAAACACTAAAAAAGTAAAGGCCAGCAACGGTCGAGCTCGCTGTCGGGAATTGAGTCTTAGAATAAGACACGGCAGTTGATGGTTTTATGTGCACCTCCGTTTTTGGTTGATGAACCAGCGCACCTTGAAATGAACACTTCCACAGTATCAACTCAAATCAGATGTGATGTATCGATCATTGACAGTGCATTCCCTGAAGAGTATATTGACTATTGGTTACAGGCCAAGACTTTGCACTCAGAACAGTTGTGCAGTCGCGTTACGATTCCTAGTTCGTGTGAATGAACGAAATTCACCAAACTTCCAGTCAGACTTATCTGTAGTGTATTTGACCGAACTTGTTCATTACTTTTCGACAGTGTTTTATTTTTTGCTTGACAGGACCGTGTGGACTGGTCTCATCTGACTTTCAGACCCCCTGACCATTTATCTAGACCACTGGCTTTGTCCAAATTATCAGGAAATTTAACCAGCGTAGTTAAACATGTTGCCAAAACGTTCATTCCATAAGTAAAGGCATGTATTCTCTGTCACTAGAACTGTTATATATCTTAATAAATAAATCTTTTAACTTTACGCATCTTATTCCATCTTCGTATACTTTATGCTGCCATGTGCCCTAATACACATGCAGGAAGAGTTGCTCGAAGTAATTAGTCTTATTCATTTTTGTGTTAGAGATTGACAATTCACAATCCAACTGAATACAGCACACAACTGTGCACATTTAGTTTTATAAATACGTATGGAAATTTCGTCCTGTTGGCAAGGCAGATCTATGATAGAGAACTGGAAGCACTAGAAGCTGCTAAGTCATTATTGCGCTCACCCGCAGTTTATCGGGCGATCAGCTTCAATAAAACTTCCCAAAACGCTTCACACTACCAACAGATAAGTGACCCGGTGAATGCATATTGGTTAGCAAGTATTAAAACTCAGAAACTCATGTGATGTTATTTTCACAACTTGTTGCCTGTGGTTTGGAAGCACAGAAGAGCACAGATAATTGCCAAAAGCTAATTGAAAATTCATACTATGGGGCTTAACTTGTAAACAAAAAAGATTAAATTACTGGGGAATCCAATGCAATCGTCCGGAGAAAGCACGAGTCGTTTTTAGTTTGTTTCTTTTTGAAGGTGTATCACACTATGTGATCCACATATCTTGTCACACATGGCTGCATAGTGAATATATATATANACTCAGATCGTCGTCCATCTGCATTATATGACCGTTTCTAAAAATATATTTACACTTTGGACACTTTCCAAAGGCTGACCGTTGTAAAGCGCCAAAAGATTTCCTGTAAAGCGAAATTTGCATAGACAAATGCGAAAATTCTGCATCCTTGAAGATTGCTCCCTTCCAGCAAGCAATGCCACTTGTCTGGCCTAAACAGACCTAAAGCTCTGCGATATACAGTCAAAGTGTGCAATGAAGTGTAGCCTGTATTCGCGAAGGTTTGCCTTACCGCCTGAACATCAATCTAACATTTCAATAGAATCGTCATTTATTATTCGTCTAAGATTGAAAAGTCTTTCGAATTAATACCTCCACTTAACGACGTATCTGTGGCTTCTGCCCGTCATTATTCATAAAAGAGGCAAACATTACGAATCTCAGCTTATGAATCAGCACTTGATAACTTTGCAAGGTATGGCCGACTCGGGCGCGTTGACTAGGGAAACTCAAGAGTGTTGAAGAAGAAGTGAAGAAGTGAAGTGAAGAATCTACCAGTACCAAGGTAGGTCGTAGGTTGCTGCGGGATTTGTGCAATTTGCACTCACGTCACTCGTTTGAACAATCTTTTTTCTAATCTTGTACACTTAGTTGGGTTAGTCTATGTAGAGGAAAACTGGGTCCGCATTTCACCGTTGTTAGAGCCCATCAAGCTTCCGTACCAGTAACCGTCCGGGACTTGAACCATGACGACTCACACACGAGACGAACATGTTACCGCTACTCTGTCAACGCACGCTGCATGTTTGAACTGACAGTACGCATTCATCAATGATGTGAGTGGTTTGCGCAGCGGTTTGGATGACAGCACAGTAACTGTTCTGTCTGCATCAACCGATCGACGAAATTCACACAATCTCCCAGCGACGGACACTAGGTATAAATCGGACAAATTTTCATCAACTGGTATTGAGGCTTTAGTTTGCAAAGTGTTGGGAATTTTGCCTGTGGCACGACCCTTGCAAATTTTGCCTGTGGCACGACCCAACCAGGCGCACCCAAGCAATGGATATCAGACCGAACGGTGTCACTACTTAAATCTCGAAGAAATATCCCAGCAGGTCCCGAACGTAATCCGGTACGAAGAGCTATTAGACGCCAAATGAAAGTGAGCTTGCGATCCGACCGTGAAGTGTGTGTGACACAGAAAGTCAAAGAAATGGAAGAGGCCCAGAAAGCAGGTAATGCCCGGAGATTATTTCAGTGGATCCGTGCGAACAGTCCCCGGAAACCACCTGTGAGTGAAACCATCAAACATAAGAATGGAACGACCATCTCTAATAAGGAGGAACGCCTTGACCGGTGGGCTGAATACTTTGAACAACAACTGTCGTGGCCACCAGCCGACGCTCATCTACAGGTAGAACCCTGGACAGTGAACGTGAAACCACCTACGGCCTTGGAGGTTTACGACTGCATATGTTCTCTCAAGCGCCACCGAGCTCCCGGTCCGGATGAACTTCCACCCGCACTGTTCAAAGACGGCGGTGAAGTCCTCAGTCAGCGCTTGTTCGATCTGTTTGCTTGCGTTTGGGTAAAGGAGTGTGTCCCAGACAACTGGGGAGAATCGGTGATAGTGCCCGTTTTCGAAAAAGGGGCGCGTAGTGAGTGTGGTAACCACAGGGCGATCAGCTTGACCCCG